GGGGGGGGGGGAGGATGGCATCGCACTTTCGCTAGTTTTTGCTACTTCCTGTTTAATTAATGTTCCACCTTGGTAAGCTGTAAACTCTGATCAAAGTAAATAAAGCTTTTTGTTATTGGACTGCTTTATAGGAAATTACAGGCCTCGTCACGAGGCATCGGAAGTGACCGATGGGAACAAGCAAAATACTCCCACTACGCCGAGCAGAGCCTTAAAATACATACTTCGAAGCCCCACGCTCAGAAACCTGGGCTCCAGGTACTATTCCGAATATACTGAAAAACTTTGAAAGTCCCTCCCCAGACAGAAACACTCAGACGCACACTTTTTCCTAAGGACTGGCTTGACTAGAACCATATGACTCCACGATCTCGTATAGAAGACGGACGATTAGATGAAAAGAAACAAATACCTTCTTTCTGATGTATCAGAAATGAACGTACATTATTCATAAGTACATCAGAAGATATAATAATAAAAATTTATTAAAATATACAAGCATAATCATGAAACATTTTCGATTAAAAAACTTCGGCTCGAGATAAGTTATAAACGATGTTCGTACGAATGAGAGAACAGGACTCAAAAAAGCCTACAGATAAAAATCACCAAATAACACATCTTCATGGTCATTTTTTTCCACGGAATTTTGAAGAATGAACGTCTATAAAAGAAATCGCAGAGAACGGGGATGACAACGCCCAGCAACAGAGGAAAATCCTGTGCTTTCAACTTTTGTCTCCGCGACAATCAAGAGCATTGCCATTTATAGACACTTTGAAATTTGGCTAAGACTATTTGACTTTAAAAAATTGATTGATGAATTAAAATTCATCAGAATTCAGAGTCAAGGGACTAAAGCGGAGGGAGAATCACGGAGACATTGTTGAAGAAAAATGACTCACAAACAAGAGAATAACATAACTGAACAGCAGGGAAACAATCATATCAGCACTTAAGCACGGGCAGTTTCACTAGAGCAAAACTTCACTGTGGTTTCATTTCCTGGCCAATCCTATAGGATTGTACCTGAAATCGAAAGGGTTAAGTTTATTTGTACAAAAGCTCATCTGCTCCATCCTAGGTGCTGAAGTCTTTGGCAATGAGCGCTGGTACCAACCGCAACACTTTTCGGCGCAGGGTCGGCGTCGGGGGAGGCATTTTGCATGTTCGCCTCCGTCGTTGGTCTCGCTTCACAAGTCTCATCCTAGTGTAACTTGTAAACTTCTGTGAAGCTGAAGCAAGCTCTAGCCACCATCTTAAATTATATTTGTGTGGCTGCGTTCACACCTTGCATCGAATATATGGCAAGAGAATCGTAGTTCGCCGCGTCAGTGGGTGTAGCGCGTGACGTCGGGTCGGCTAATAACGACGATTTAAGGTGGATATTGGTCGACAATAGACAACGCGTGATCAAAAATAGACATAAGTGTCTACCATGTCCTTGTCTACGTGAAATTCGATGCTCCATCGAAAGGGCAGTGAAAATTATGAGAAAGTCGCGCCCACTGCCGCGCGAGAAGCGGTAAATCACGATTCTCTTGTCCGCCTCCCCTTTGCATCAGCGCACGCCAGAGCATGGCAGCGTTTTTTGCCGGGCAGTTGCTCAAGCTCGAATCGCTCGCCCGAGCACTGGCATACGCTGGCTTGCGCTAGATCGATATCTATACTTTCCTTATTATTATCGCTGGCATCTGCTCGAAATGCTGCAGTACACTGGCGTAAGCTGACGACAGGTATTGAACGCAGCAGCTATGGGTATTTCGCGTGCCTTTACAAGAGCTTGACCTGAGTACTCCATGACAACGTCGACAGCATGATCTCTACCAACTTGACGTATGATTTGCGCTTGTCCGTCACCAAAACAGGTCTCCGCCTGACTGGCTAAACAACGTTATGGAATTAACTTAAGTGCAAAATCCCCCCCCCTATCTGTCGAGTGTGCCCGATTTTCTCCACGGATGTTCAAGAAGCCTAATAGCTGAACACCCACCTCATTTTGCAGTCCATTTTAAGTCACGATCACTGGCAATTGTCGTCGAAGTGCTTTGAATGTATTGTCAGACATCGATGCATAATTCTCCTGCACAGCTTGCTGAAAAACAGTGAAATCGGGATTGTCACACGTTTTCTTCGGCAACTTCATCACATGCACTTCAACACTATTTCGTAACATTACTCATAGATACAACAAAAGCGTACCAGAATTCCAAACGCATTTATGAGCAATGCGACAAAACAATGCCGTCATTAACTTGGACATTTGGAACATCCCGAAAAACAAGATTATGCAGCACAGAAGAAGTCATTTGTGTTTTCAGATGACGTCAGCCCAGCAGGTCGACCTTGACATTATAATTACGAAAACGCCAGTTCTACGAACCTCCTAATGGTCTGGCTGAACACTATTCACCTAGCAGTGCTCGTATATTTTAATAAGTACAATGCATCTGCAGCCTGTTATGCCTCTTTATAGTGAGCTTACTCCACATTCTTCGAGTTGAAGGCACGCCCTGAGTTCATTTCATGATCAGGAGCTTTCTTGGTAGTCTTGCCTGCCTGGAAGATGTACTGATTTCGCAACCCGAAAATACGTGAGGAAAGCATCGCCCGCTAGCGATGGAATCACGCCCCCCCCCGGCTATGACGACGCCCAAATTTCATTTTTAACTGGTACCTGATGGTACGGTTGTTTCGCTATTAACTTTATCCATTCCGAATGGTGATAGTGAGGGCATGGGAGGGGAAAGCTAGCACCAACAAGACAGAAGTCGTCCCACCACTTCCTTCTTGGCCTTATGCGCGTTCAAACGCGATCCAGCATGGGTTTTATGTGGGGCTTTCCGGGCGAGTTTTAAATGCTTTTTTCTTCGCGTCATTTGCTACGGTGTTATTTACCATTAGTATCTGAGCAGCGCGAATCTCCATTTTCGGGGCGTGCCCAAAGACACATTCCATGGCAGGGTAGCGAATAAGTTTATAGGACCAGAGATTAATGGCCAGATGGTGGCTGGCTTGCCAGAGAAGGGAAAGGAAGAGCGACCCTTTAAAAGCTCGTGGGATGAGATAGAATCCCCTTTCCCCCGTACATTTCCGGCACTGGATAAAAAGTAAGAAGTGAACAGGCACTGTGAACCCTGGGGAAAGAAATGAGGCAAAAGTGGGGAAGGATAAAGATACGGCAAAGACGAGCGGGTATCTTACACGGGGTAAGATATAAACACAACACCAAATGATGTTCTCATGGAGGTACGCTCAGAACAAAGTGTAAGTTCAGTACTGCTTTCACAATTAGACTGGTGCTTTCACCACTGAGAATGTATGACTTGGCTGGATGACAAATAAATAAATAAGTGAATAAATAAATGTGTTAGATATGAAAGCAATAGTAAAGGTAGCAGCTACACGATAACTGGAACCGAGTGATATTACAAGTCTCAAATGAACCACACACATCGTAACTCCTGAGCAAAAGATGTAGAAAAAATGGGAGCTTCACATTTCCAGGGCTGCCCTGATACGTCTCGTACAACGCTTTGCCTTTACCTTTTGAAAAATCGGCATGACTGGCAGAAATTTGAGATGTATCAAGAATTAAAAAAAACTTGAGTGCTACGTTTCACACATTTCAAGCAAGAAACTCAGCGAAAATCAAATACTGGGAGAAAAACACACCTGATATTTTCCTTCTTCGTCCTTTATTGCCTGAACGATTTCCTTAGCCGTTTTCTCAACATCTCCCTGAAAGCGGTGAAGTAACATTGACTAGAAATGACATCAAAATAGGACTGTTAACTCACAGTTACTTGCACTTTCACATTACAATCCTTTTCGGAGAACAGCTGAACGTTACCGTCTTCGTAATAGTGTACCTGAAACGAATCACTTTTCCTCAATTTAAACAGGATATCACCACTCAGAATCTCTTTACCTGCACTTTTATCTTGCCCACTAGTTCTTGACTACCCGTCTTCCCGTCACCAACCGGGATTTTCCACTCAGATCGCCAGCGACCATTGCTTAAAAACAAACGGTTAATGAAAACCACATGAGAAAAATAAACCGTTTGGCGCAGTTCAGCCTGGAAGGGCATTTTGCTTTGTTCATGAAAATAGCAAGTGTCACTTTGATGAGGCATGTAAACACCAGTGGAGCTGCAAACTCCACTGGTGTTTACATGTACTGCCGCAGGAATTTGCAGGTCTTCACGAGGTGTTTTCTGCAAGTCTATCATTCGGTGCTCCCACCAAACCAAACCTGCGCCAATCATTTTGCAACAGAATGAAGAAACGCTATAACATACCAGAAATTTTTAGGTTGGAACTGATGAGACTCTATGCACAAAGTGAAATTGCCATGACGGACAAATACGCAGCCAACACCTGATTTTGAGTAGTGTTCCTCAATGTACGCATCCAATTCCTAAAAAAAACAGGATTATGGACAATAAGAACAAACTCACAAAAAGTGAAATACCTTTTGCAGAGCAGCACGCCATGCTTCCGCAGCTGACGATTCTGCAGGATGAGGTTGAATATCACTGGCTTCTTTACGAAGATGATCATACTTGAAGGATTTTTTCGATGCATCATCTACATAACGACCGCCACCGATGTCATTGAAAGGTGTCACAAGGGTCTGAAGAGCTACTCCATAAATTACCGCCTCACTGTTTTGATTAAATTTCATTTTCAGTAATCAATGAATCCTGTATAGAAACCCTTGATTTCTACCGATAATAGTCACAAGATGACGAGAGGATCAGGACTGGCTTCGCGCTGGGAAAGATGCAGAAGAATACCAGTTATATTGCAACTGCATGTTTTTCAAGTGGTCGTTAAAATTCCAAGCGCAACCTAGTCGACTTGGTTATCGACATACAAGTATGAGAAACTTGAAGCGAAGAGGATTGAGGAATGTTAGACAAAGGAGAAGCGCTATGCCCACACAGCCGCATCGATATCGTTAAAAACATTGGATGACAATGAAAAAGTTGACTTCGAAAAAGGCACAGTTCCGCTTCGTGGGGGCATTTTGCTGGTTTTTATTCACTACCCTTATGAGCTGCTCTTGTGAGACCCCATACGAACCTGAATATGCAATAAGGCTCTCAAAGTTAGGAAATTATTGCACCTATGGAAGTACAGGCGAATAAGCCTAAGGGAGAAATGTGACGCGGAGTGCAGACTACCCTTCAAAGCCCGGGGGTAACCGCGCCCGAGAGCCTGGGAGTATTCAACAGACAATAAGAGAGATCAAACACCACTAGTAATCTCATCCAGATGGTAAATTCAGACGCCTGCTAAGCTAATACGGATTTCCTTGAGACTGGTACTACCTAGAACCCTTCATTTTTTTTCATCCCAGTATTATGAGTAACACAAGCTCCTTACTTTTTATATTTTACTAACGCGCTACACCACACTATATTTTATGATGTAAAGTGCTAGACATTTGTTCATATATCTAAAGCAACTACTGGCGCAAACCCTTGTTCATCTTAGGTATTTAGCCAGTTCAATCACGGGGAGGGAATTTGCACTTTCGATACTTCCCATCGTTGTAAGGAGCCATCAAACTGTGACCTGTGTAAATTGCACCTTCCCCCCAGACGCCAGCACTTGACTGCTGGACTACCCGCGCTTTCTGCTTTCGCAAATTCCCAAATTTTACAAATGCGGAACGTTGGGTGCTTCGGTAATGGGCCGCAGTTTCGTCGCGCGGGGGGGCATTCTGCACTTGGCGGCTTGGTTATTTTCAGTTTACAGGTCTCACTCCGGTGAATCTCCGAAAATCTGTGAACTCATGTGAAGCTGGAGGAGCAGACTCGTCCATCTACCATGGTAAAAGCCGTCAATCGTCTTGCAAGCGAATGGGATAGCTCTCTGAAGGGCTACGTCGATGGGAAGTAGCAAAAAAAGCGCCGAACGGCGCTTCGGCTTAGAGTGCCACGTGTTCAAACCCTTGGGCTGTGATGGCTCACCCTATCACATTCAGCGGCTATGGACGATTAGCAGCAAAAAAACGTCACTACCCACGTAAGTGGTACCGATACGGAAATGCTAATTCATACTCTACCCTGTAGAGTGTTGTTCGATGCATGTTTGGTTTTTAACACTTTCCTGGATTATACATCGCACCAAAAATTTCTGGTGCAGCTCACTTGGTGGGAGCACCAAATGGTACTTAGAGAAGCTAAATTATGCCATCTTGTGAAAACCTGTGAATTCCCGTAACCCCAACACGATCACTTCTACCACTTTGCCGCTCACTGGAGTTAAAAACTTCTATCCAAAGGTTATACAGTTACATACTATCGTAAACTAACAAAAGGGACAGGCTAATGTGCGAAATGCCCCTTCTGGCGTGAACAACGCCCAGATTCCCCATAGACAAGAAGATAAATCAAAGGAAGCAGCTACCTGTTTTTCCACTCCTTCAAGTTTCACTGGGGCGAATTGGCTTTCGTTGTATTTCGTAATAGCCTGCGCGCAGCCTTCCTTCAGCAATTGATCATTGTTCAATAACATGCGAACAGCATTAAAAACCTTAATGAATCAAGACTGTGTACACATCCATCAAGATGACTAAAAGCACAATTAAGGAAAAGCTTTACAACTTAGGCGACATACCTCATTGAATTCACGGACTCATGTTTGAACAGAAATCCGAACAATTCGAACCTTTTCGCTGTCTGGGATGGTTGCCTCGGAAGTCAATCTCGACTGTGAAAAGACAATTTTATTCAGAGTGACAAGATATGACTAATGCTCATGATTGAAGTGACATCCAAATAAACAACGACAAAACCAAGGATAAACAAAATTGGGAGCTGTCAAGAGCGGTTCGAGAATGTCGAGAGATGGGAAGTAAGTGTACAACAGACTCAATAACGCGTATAATCGTATTAGCTATGGAGGGTGATCGATGCTGCAATCGACCCGCTGGTTGTCCGACCACAACCGCGACTATCGATCCAACTGCAGACTTCGTAAAACAACACAGTACTCGAGAGCTTGCAGAAAAATACGTCGATAGGAACTTTGCCTAATCCTACGCGTTTTTTGCAGACCCATTGAGTTTAGTTCGCTTGTGATTACTTGTGCTCAAGTTTTTGGGGTTTCCTTTTTAACTTAGGAGGTGTTCTTAACCAGTTGGCAGGCGAATAAAGCGTCAATGGATTCATAGCTTCAGTTGACTTCTTGCTACTCTCAATTCGTTTCTACCTGTTTTTATTCTTGCAACGAGCTGTACTTGATGTGGTGGGAAGGAATAAGTTTTTGTTTTTCCTTCTTGCTTAGTTTCCGGATCATCCTTCTTTGAGTGAACCAGGAAGGAGAACCATTGAATCTTTTTATAGTTTCGTTGGACTAAATACTTTAGAGGCGGAGGTGGTGAAGTGGCAAAGGACTCGCCGCTAAATCTACAACAGGAAAAATTCAGGGACGAGTGTGGGCGGTTGGGCGAAAAGCAGTAGATGTGTATCGATTTCGCTGGCGAAAAACGCCACCGCGATGGAGCTAGCGTTTTGTCGAAGGCGAAAAACGTCGCGGTTTGGCGAAACGCCCGTCGATACGTACCAAAACCCTTTCGCCCAACCGCCAGTCGATATGTATTGAAAGCTTATTCGCCGAACCGCCGCGTTTCAGAGAAACGCTGGACCGCAGAGTGTGAACAATGCCTTACCACGCGCACGGTCCGGGAAAATCCTGGATCAGTGGCGCTAAGGCCGCGTTCATAGCTTGCGACCATGAAGAAATGCAGAAATGCGGAAAGTGCAGAAGTGCGGAATCTGCAGAAAAGCAATAGATACGTATCGACTTGAAGAAATGCAGAAATGCCGAAACTGCAGACGTGCGGAAAGTGCAGAAATGACGAAAAGCATTACATACGTATCGATTTGAAGAAATGCAGAAATGCCGAAAGTGAAGAAGTGCAGACAGTGCGGAATGTGCAGAAAAGCAATGGATACTTATCGACTTGAAGAAATGCAGAAATGCCGAAAGTGAAGAAGTGCCGAATCTGCAGAAATGCCGAAAGTGTGGAAAATCGATACGTATCGGTTGCTTTTCTGCACATTCCGCACTGTCGGCATTTCTGCAGATTCCGCACTTCTTCACTTTCGGCATTTCTGCATTTCTTCAAATCGATACGTATGTAATGCTTTTCGTCATTTCTGCACTTTCCGCACGTCTGCAGTTTCGGCATTTCTGCATTTCTTCAAGTCGATACGTATCTATTGCTTTTCTGCAGATTCCGCACTTCTGCACTTTCCGCACTTCTGCATTTTCCGCATTTCTGCATTTCTTCATGGTCGCAAGCTATGAACGCGGCCTAAGGCCGCGTTCATACATGTGCAGAAATGCGGAATACTGGGCACGGAACATGCAGACAGAAGCATGTATAACGTATACGATTTGAGTGGCCGCATTCTGCAATTCCGCGGAATTGTAGAAATGAGAACAAGGAAGATAGGGATCGTCAATTCGTTCTTCAGTCGTCTCGTGCGGATTGGGAGAATGCAGAACCGCAGATTCCGCATTTCGGCATTTCTGCATATTCCGCAGAATTTGCAGAAATGTGGAAATGACGGACAAAGAAGTGATAGGGATCGACCGTCCGTTGGCATTTCTGCATATTCCACGGTTTTTGAAATCGATTGACAGATTTTCTTTTTCTGCTAGTTCCGCGTTCTCCCTATTCCACAGGTCTGCAAATACCGCAGCTCTGCACATTCCGTGGTTCGGCATCAAATGTATGCAACGCCGACTAACGCTTCATAAACCGACCAGCTCGCCTCGCGCTGACGGCCGGCGCAGGCCTCCCTTCTGATAGGGCCGGCTGCGTAGGCGCGGCGCGGCTTCGCCGCGGTACTTCTCTCAATATTCTTGACTCACTGATGCGCCTTTTGTTCTGTACTCCGCTTTTCTCCGGTGTCTAAAGTACTCTTGAGCTATTTTATAGATTCTTCGTATGGCTCCGCCCACCTGAGAGCAGACCCCGCCCACAACTTTTGTGCCCCACACTCTCACCGGCGACCCTCTGCTGGCCTTCATCCACCTTTTTTTTCCGGTTTGAGTGCTCTGGGACAGTTTTAGGGAATTTTCGTCTGACTCCGCCCACCTCGGAGCAGGCTCCGCCCACAATGTTTTTGCCCCACAATCCTCACCCGCGACCCTCTGCTGACCTTAATCCACTTTTTTCCGGTGTCTGGAGTGTTCTGGAACCGTTCTACAGATTTTTGTCTGGCTCCGCCCACCTCGAACAGGCTCCGCCCCCAATTTTTGTGCCCCACAATCCTCATGACCAACTCTGCCTGACCTTAATCTTTTTTTTCCGGTCTTCAGAGTGCTCTGGGACCGTTCCTGCAGATCTTTTATCTAACACCGCCCACTTCGAAGCGAGCTACAAACTTTTGAAATGAGTATCCTGCGGTTAAGGGCAAGCTCCGCCCACTGTGGGCGGATCTCAACACATTTTGAGCGTGCCCAATACTCGCCAGATATTTACATTCTGCACTGAGCTTTTTGCGGCTTCTGAACACTCTCGCGAACCGAGTTACTGAGTTTTATGCGAAGCACCGCCCACCTTGAGTACGCCCCGCCCATTTTGGATGTGTCTGCCACAGTTAGTCTGGCGACTCCTTACTAACCTTATTCCCTTTTTTCCCCATCTTAGGCTGCTCCGGAAGCGAATTATGAACATTTTTCTGTGGAACCCCAAAATTTCAGCGAGTGCCCCGCCCACTGTGGGCGGGGCTTCGCATAGGTCAAGTGTGCTTTTTATTTCTTGTCCCATGCTCTACCCATCCCCACCTTGACCCGACCTCTCTAAGTCGTTCTTCAGGTCGAACCGAATTTCCCAGACAGACAAACTTACAAACAAACAAACAAACAAACCGTAATGCGAAATTACATATATGGGGTGATATGGGGTGATGATAGAGAGGGCGGAGGCTGCTCACTCCATCCGAATGTGGCGTAGAACGCAATTTTGTGGGATATTTCCATGTGAGGCAACTGTCATCCTGTCTCTCTCGTATTGAGGAAAAACGCGATTACGATTGTCGCAAGATGGCACTATCCCTCCCTCTCCCCCTCCAAGGGCAGCCATGGCCACATTCATATGAAGGACGTAGCCACCGTTGTTCTAGGATTGGGAGCACGGGTACAGTTGGTGGTGGTGGTTCTCCAGAGAGGCTCAGAAAGCTCGTGAAAGAAAGCATTGTTGTTTTGTAGTAGTTCTCCTACCTATGTCTGTTACCTTCTAAGTAGGCTTATAGCGCAGACAACCACAGGGTCACATAGTGCTGGAGAGAAGATGCTGTCTCCAATATGCCTAATCCTTGATTAGAGGAAGGATGGATGTATGAACTGCATTGCTCTGGAACGGCTTCTGCTGGTTAGGTGGCCATTAAGTGAGGTTTGGTCCTCTTTCGTTCCTCATTTCGCTGCTCACCTAGGCATAGGACAGAAACAATCATCTCCATCGCTCTTAATCGATTTTTCACATATTCCCCCCACTTTCCCTTCACAGTCAAGTGAATATTTTGTCGTGTCTTTAGATGCCTTGAATGCTCCTCAACGAATAGTCTACCTTATGGGATAGCGCTCAGGTTAATAATCTATCAGAGTAAAGAGAAAAGACAGCTGCGAAGACGAGATATGTTCAGTTACTCGCTTATCTACTCGATCGTGCAGTTTTTTGGCTCTCATCTATACCTGAAGAACTTGTCGATGCAATAATGATGATGATACCATGAGACTCATCCAGCTTGCTATCGTGGCTATAATGCTGTTTTTTGATAATCATGAACGAGAGAAATCCGGCTACTAAGTTGTACGGTTCGCCTAGCGCAAGTTGTCGTACTTTCATTGCCCATCTTTTGGTTGAGCTTACCGATGATGTCATCATCACCAGGCGCTCTTGATCTGGCAAGACCTCCAACATCGAGCAGCTCCGACAACATCGCTATGGTCCAGGATATCGTCTTCACCGCAGTCGCCAAGGCGCGGTGTTGATGGTATGGACGGGACGTACCTGGAATGGAAAGACAATACTTCCTTCGTGGGCGCCGGACGAAGGTGAGCGCTGGCGATTACATCGAGCAACTCGAGGAGAATAGCCTGCCTTCATGTCGTCGCCCTTACCATCTTGGACGTACTGCTACAGGATTGAGTGCGAGCACGTGGAATCGAACTGCGTTGGAACTCTCGCCTACTTGGAACAGAAGGGCGTTAAGAACCTGAAGAGGACGGGATGTCAAGTTTGTCGTTTTTCACCTGACCTAAACCCCCTCAATTACCCGGTTTGGGCGGAGCTCAGGAGGTGACGGAGAAATCAACTATCTCGCTGAACTCAGGCACCGAATCATCGGCCAGTGGCAGAATCTCTCGATGACGTTGGTCCATAATGTGGTGGAGTTTCGTGATAGTGTACAATGAGTTGTTGAATTTGATGGTTGAAATGTCCAA